TTCACATTTCCTACAAAACAAAAAACAAAATATACATAAATATAAAAGAAAATTGAAAAACATAATAAAATAAATATATATACATGAAAAATTTTAAAGTTCACCAAATGTAACCTAGAAAAAAAAAGTTATTGTTGAGGTCATATATGGACTGATACCGGTCCGTATAGGTATATACAGACCGTAATCGATCCGTATATATCGTTTAAAGAAAAAAAATGATAAAAAATAATTTAATTCGATATTCCTTACATAATTTTATGATATTGAATTATTTTCATATAATTTATAATGTTTATCATATAAAATGCTAGAAATTTTTTTAAATTTAGTATAAATATATAAATCTTCAATATCTATTACAAATATAAAGTCAATACAAATATTTAATTGAAATATGAAAAACCTAAATATCTCTGGGTGTCCTAGGGGTGACTGTCCCACTGGTATCCGCTGGGGTCATCCCTTAATGCTGGTAGAGTTGCTGCATCTGTGTCGCAAGGGTCGATTGTTGCTACCGTAGGCTATCATTATCTGCCAAAACATTAGACATTGCTTGTCGAAGGCTATGATTATTTGCCTTCAATGATTCAACAGTCTGCTCTAATTCGATAACCCTATTAGACTGTCCTATAATGGGTGGCCTAAATGGTTCTCGTCTAGATGTGCTCACACCTATATCCTGTGGATGTGTGTGAATATCCAAACCTTTCAACTATCCTTTCTTGACCCCACCAGTTGCCTTAAGTAATATCTCAGCATGAGGTATTGTAGGGTCAAATCCTTCTTCCTCTTGTCTAGTAGCATATTCAGCTGTCAATTTTTCATGAAATAATATAAGACAAAATAAATAATTAATTGTATTGAAAATTAAAATGAAATTAAAAATATCACTTTAGGAATCTAAATTCAATTTACTCTCCCGTAAAAGGATGGAGTTCTAACTTTTTACCAATAACTATATTGTACAATAGTTTAAATATTATAACTAAAATAATTTCAATTAATTCATAACACAATTTAAAATAAAATTGTTAAGTTAAATGCTTACTCCAATTTCTTGAGCCTCATCATTATAATATACAGGCAGTTGATCTTTTCCTTTTCCTTTGTGTTGCCTTCTACTGGTGTAGACCTCAGGATATGTTGGTGGACGACCCTCGGGGTTTGCTTGTTGCTGTAAAGAAAAAAAAAAGAAGAGAAAATATTAAAATCAATA